GGTATTTTATGTTGAAATGAAAAAGATCATCTCAACATGTTCACCTTTATACAATGTTTTTTTTTTTCAAAGTCCAAACACTCCCCCTCCACCCAATTTCTTCACCCGTGTAGAAAGGGTTCTAAAGGATCATTTGGAGGTGTGGGTTTAAAGTTATTTTCCCATATTTCTAACTTCATCATCGCAAGACACGGGTTTTGTATCCATTCATATAAAATACAAATGAATTTTATTGACCTACCTCTCTTCTAAGTTAAATGAGAAATCCTAACCTGTCATTTAAAATTGAAGAATCTATGACTGGTAATTGATTTTCTCGTCTCTTATTTGGTTTAGCCTGAGGGTATTGCCAAGATTGCTTCCAAGAAAGGAAAAGTTTTTGGGGACACGCATGACGGCCATAAGCTGACACCAGACCAGATGAATGAACTAAGGAGCGGGGTAAGATACGACAACTAGGGGCACATAAGTTAAAGAATCAATCCAGAGGACTGGAGCTGTCTCTGATTCTGAGAATTTTATTAATTTATCATACCCCCGCTTGAAAAGTGGGAAGGTATATAGTGATCAGGATGTCCGTCCGTCCTTCCGTCCGTCTGTTACGCTTTGGGGTACCCATCTCTTATCCGCAACTCCTCTTATACCACTGAATGAAATTTAATGAGACTTTCACAAAATCTTTGCTACATAGTGCCATTATTTTACCTTTTTGATCGGACACATATTTCGGGTTTCCTATAGCAAAACATGGACACTTTCATTCTTTCTATAATATTGAAGGGTACCCATCTCTTATCCGAAACTCCTCCTATACCACTGAATAAATTTTAATGATGCTTTCACAGATTCTTTATTACATAATTCCATTGTGCACCTCCTAATTTAGTTTTAGATGTGACATTTATTTCGGGTCTCCCAGAGCAAAACATGGACTTTGCCATTATATTCATATGGGAGGCGGGGGGTATCATTTAGTGAGCTCAGTGCTCACAGTACCTCTAGTTCACTAGTATTTATTTTTGTTTTAACTAATTCTATTAGGGAGTGTCTAGACTATTTCTACCAAAGAAAATGTATTATGATAAATTAAATTCAAATTTATTGATTTTTTTAAACATTAAAAATAAGACTTTTACTGATAAACAATCAAAATGTAGATTACCCGCAATATTAAACCATAAAATATTAAACATGAATTTCAAAAACATTAAAAAAAAAAATTCTGAAAAATGCATCGCTAATAATGCAGCGATAATTTGCAAATGCTGTAGCACTTGTCAAATGGACATGGCTAATAAAATAGACTTATCTCCCATCAACATTAAATCAATATACCTTTCTTCCAGTTTGAATAATTTTTTTAAACTTTTTTTTTTATCTAAATAAGAACGGTTATCTAAACCTTCACTCCTTAATATTTTAAAGTTAATCAAGCATTCAGTAGATTTCATTTGTCAGCCATTTTCTGGCATCCCGTGGTTCTCTTCTCTAAAATTGAATACATGTACATTCTTAAATAACAGATTCGTCCATAAAAAATTATTGTAATAACTGCAAATACTCTTTAATCTTCGTGCCAAAAACTCTACTTACATGTTAGTCAATTCATGTTCTATTTTTAATGTTCACAGAGTGGTGAAGGGAAACGGAATTTTTGGAAATCTGCTCGACTTTGGACAGATAAAATAATACCGTACAGAATTGCCAGCTCCTTATGTAAGTTCCATATCAAATTAGACTAATTGTTGTCTTAACAATCTGAAAATCAAGAAACAAACGCACGTTACAGTTAAGTTGTCACTGAGCATTATTTTTGCAGAGAATTTTATAAAGATCTAAGAACTTTACTAACTCTTAGACATACTGGTATAATTTACACAAATTATGTATGTAAAACAGCTGAATATGTGTCTTCAGAAATATGCTTTGTTATACACACATAAATATAAGCAACAATGAATAGACTGTACACACATTCCTTGAACAGAACTTATCATTCTTCATTTTCTTTCTTCAGCCTCTGTACAAAAGAACGTAGACACAATCAATAAGGCAGTCCAACAGTTTTCAGACTACACCTGTTTGAAATGGGTTCCTTATGGTTCTGCAGAAGCCAATCAAGCCAGCTATCCAAATTATGTGGAATTCTTTTCTGGCAGGTAATGGTATTTTCAAAATCAGGATCTCAGATAATTCAGGTAAAACCAATGCATCATTGCTTGTTGTTTTAACCTCCATAAATTTGATACAAAGAAACGACATTTTTTTAAACAGCATTAATTGAAATCTGTACCTTGCTATCAGATAAAATCTGTAATTTTTTTTTTAATGTTAGTGGATGTTGGTCTTACATTGGAAGAATTGGAACAGGCAGACAATATATTAGTCTTCAAGATCCTGGTTGTGTTTCGGTAAGACATATACTGATAATGCACGATTATAATCCAAAAATGGCAGATAGTAATAATGCGAATAAACAATGGAAATAGGGGAATAAAACGTCTGCAAGTCATGAAGAAAATTAAAAAGCTGGGGGGAAATTATTTGATTTTTTATCCCAAATTCAAAATTTAAGTCCTCCAAAGGTGAAGTCCTCCAGAGAGGGGGGGGGGGGGGAGGTCTTATGTTGCAGTACAACTGAAGTTTCTCAGCAGTTAATATTTTGGTAAGGAGGGATAGGGACTTGGTTGATTGACAAAAATTTTTTAATAACTCCTTTACTATTGTTATACATTTTTAGGTCACCTGAGTCACTCAGGTGACCTATTGCTATCCGTTTTCGTCCGTCGTGTGTTAACATTTGTACATTTTTATCTTCTTCTCTGAAACCGCTTAACCAATTTCAACCAAATTTTGCATATAGCATCTATGTGTGAAGGGTAACAAAAAATTTGAATTTCATGGCCCCTGCCCACATGAGGCTTGAGGGGTGGGGCTAAAACCATCAAATTAATGCTATCTTTAAAAATCTTCTTCTTTACTCCTAGACATCAAGCAGTCAAACTGTTGGCATGATTGTAATAAGCATTGAGCCCTCTACCAAAATTTTGAAATTCATGGCCTCAGGGTCAGGGGTTCTGGTGATAGGGTGGGGCTCTATTGATTATATAGTGAAAATACATTAATTCATTGAAAATATTCTCTGCTTCTGGGTATTAATTAAACTTACTAAGAACATAGTTATGGTGAACATGACTGCCTTTTCAGAAACTGAATTTCATGGCCCCTGGGTAAGAGGTTCTGGTGTTTGGGCGGAGCTCTATTGATTATATAGTAAAAATTCATTAATTCTTTGAAAATCTTCTTCTCTGCTCCTCGGTATTAAATAACCTAACTAAGTACATAGTTATGATGAACAAGAGCGCGTCTTCCAAAAATGCTAATTTCATGGCCCCTGGGTCAGGGGTTCTGGTGTTAGGGCGGGGCTCTATTTATTATATAGTGAAAATACATTTTTTTTTTTTAAATCTTCTTCTCTGCTCCTGGGTATTAAATAAACTAACTAAGTACATAGTTATGATGAGCAAGAGTGCCTCTTCCAAAATTGTGAATTTCCTGGTCCCTGGATCAGGGGTTCTGGTGTTAGGGCAAGGCTCTATTGATTAAATAGTGAAAATACATTAATTCATTGAAAATTTTCTCTGCTCCTGGGTATTAAATAAACTAACTTAGTGCATAGTTATGACGTGTATGGTAGCCTCTTCCAAAATTGTGAATTTCATGGCCCCTGGGTCAGGGGTTTTGGTGTTAGGGTGGGGCTCTATTGATATATATAGTGATTATACATTAATTCTTTTGAAAATCTTCTTCTCTCTCGTGGATATTAAATAAATTTATACATAGTTATGATGAGCATGGCTGCCTCCTCAGAAATTGTGAATTTCATGGCCCCTGGGTCAGGGGTTCTGGTGTTAGGGCGGGGCTCTCTTGATTATATAGGGAAATGTATAAATTCTTTGAAAATCTTCTTCTCTGCTCCTGGGTGTTATTCAAACAAAGGAACTGCATGGTGATGATAAGGAAGAATGCCTCTTCCAAAATTGTGAAATTCATGGCCCCAGGGTCAGGGGTTCTGTTGAAGGGGGGGGGGCTCAATTGATTATATAGTGAAAATGCATAATTTCTTTCAAAATATTTTTTTTCTACTACTGGTTATAAAGCAAAGAAAGAAGTGTATAGTTATGATGAGCAAGGGTGCTTTCTTCCAGAATTGTGAGTTCACTGCCCCTGGGTCAGATGTTCTGGTGTAAGGGTGGGGCTTTATTTATTTAATAATATAGTGAAAAAGCATTTCTTTGAAAATCTTCTATGCTTCTGGGCATATTCGAGGCAAACAGAGGAAAAGTTTTAATATGCAAGGGTATTTTACCAGAATTTTGAACACCTGGACCATTTGGTCGAGTGTTCTTGTCCTGGCCAATGCTCTATTAACTTGTATTCTGCTGAGCAAAGTTATTCCCCTTTTCCATTCACCTTTTATAATTGATTACTGTAAATAATGTATTTGAAAGGTTTATAGAATAAGAGAATTATGCAAGAATATTTATTGTATGATACAAAAAGTACTTTCATAGTTTTAATGATCAGGTAAGCTTGGAAATAATAGATGAATAAAAATGAGGAAAAAATAACATCTTTTTAAATTTCTTCAAAGACCAAGAGAGGCCAATGTGAAACGTAATAATATGTGGTTAAAAAATAGACATTTTGATAATAGTCTGCATGATAATAAGGATAAATGGGGGACAGATAGATACTAGACCAATTATTTTGTTGATGCTAATCATACTATTTTTCTTGCTTTTGGGCAACAAAGCTTCATATATCAGTTTATGGATCATCTAAATTCTTGTATTATACTCAGGTGACCGTTAAGGCCCTTGGGCCTCCTGTAAAAATATTTAGTTTAATTATGCAATGTTTTGAACATTTAAGGTGTCAACAACGGTTCATGAAATGGCACATGCTATCGGACAAAGGCACGAACAGTCCAGAAACGATCGTGATAATCACGTCATCATCCTTTGGACGAATTTACAGAACGGTCAAGACAACAACAACATGCAGAAAAAAGACACCTTCGATTATAATCCATATGACTATCAATCTGTGCTTCAGTACAGTTTAACGGTCAGTTAACGTTTACCTGTGTTACATTTAATCGTAAAATAAAAAAACAAAACCCAGCAAAATCCTTGTGCATCAGAATTGACTGCAAAGAAAAGTAAAATTTATGAACTTTCATGATTCATTTACTAGTACTATTTTATCTCAATATCCTTAGAGAGAAAATATAACCATATTTTTTAAACAAATAAAAGCTTTATTTTTTTTAACAGTCCTTTTCTACAAATGGTCAGGCAGTTATGAAGTTCCGTGACCGCCGGCTGGAGTTCTTGGCTGATTCAGCGACTGGACTGATGTTTTATGATATTCAGGATATAACAGATGCATACGATTGTACCAGTAAATTTTTGTATCTATTTTATTTTGCATTTAAATCAGCATTTTCAATATCCTATCCGTAATATGAACGGATTTTGCATTGATTTTAAGCAATATCTTACGTAAGTTTACAGTTTATATTTTTGGAACATTAAGATGTAAAAGGTACATTAGAATAAGGATGGTCGTTAAACTACATCACTGATAAAACGAGAAATTCGTAAATATCCTATTGGAAATTTGAATTCGTGATTTTAATGGAATATATGTTTTTACATTTCATATTGTTATGCAAAATCTGCAGTTGATTATTCTCATAAACTGTGTTTAAAGTGTAAGGAAAGTATTACAACAAAAATGCAAGATTGATAAATGATAGAAAATAGTTGCAAAATAATAAACAAAGAGCGCCAATTGTTAATGTTTTTACTTTATAAGGACCCTGTCGGGGCTCCAGTGGTAATGATCCTCTGAAGCAGTGCCAGAATGGAGGTTTTGTCATCCACACCTGTGACTGCCTCTGCCCGTACGGTATTACTGGAAACCTGTGTGAAACAGTTGATACTGATCCAGGTACATTCTTTTCTTTTACCTCAGTTGCAGGAATTTTGATGTACAAATGTATAATTATACTAGTATAAAGCTAGTAGGAAACTGACAATTGTAAAAACAATTTTATTAATTGGTTTTGTTGCGAGAATGAATAATTCAGAAATAACAAGAATCAAAAGAACATTCATGAAAAATCAAGGGAGTATCAATGAAATGTGAAGAAAACGAGCAGTAATCAAGTTCAAAAGTCCATTGGAACAATAAAAATTGGGACAGAGCAAAAACGGACCTCTAAACACATCAGATTTGGAATCAGGAGCTATGGAGTATTAATCGTCCTCTGTTGACCGGTCACATCAGCCGTGTGCTCCTTGTCATAATGGAGCATACGGGAAAAAAATCTGTAGACAATTCTGTGTGAAAATAATGATCTAACAATTTGAATGAAAAACATAAGTCAACATTCGACTTAACAATAAATTGTACAATGTATTTGCTAATAAGGTCATTGTTTCGACCATAAAATTTCCAAAATGATGACTTTAAACGAGACTGTTGATATCCTTGTATCATCAACTTATTTGTCACTAACTTGTTATTAGAATTTAAAGTGAATGGTACGTTCAACTGTAAACAACATGGTGGACATATGATAAATTTGTTTCACCATTCTCTAAAGCTATTTTGTGCAAAACAAATTCATACACAACATATAGTTTTATATCGATTAATTATCATTTAACAATAGTTACTTCCATTTATATATCCACTCGATACATCCCAGTGAACTTCAAATAAAAGATACCACAGAGTCTGACACATCCGTTACATATTTGGATATTTTACTAGAAAAGAATTAAATGGTAACCTACAAGAAAACTTTATGATAAACGTGATTACTTAAACTTTTCTATCATCAACTTCCCTTACTAATGTAGCAATATCGTTATCGCCTGCATATGGGGTTTATATCTCCAATGCTCCACGTACCAACAATTTCTAAAATGTGGCAAGTTATTGACAAACAAGTTGATGAAACAAGAATATCAACAGTCTCATTTAGTCATCGTTTCGCAAGACCTATGGTTGATACAATGACTTTGTCAGCAAATACAATCTATCATTAAGTCGAATGCTGACAGACCTGTTTCATACTAATTGATAAGCAATTATTTAAACACTAAATTGTCTGCGGATTTTTTCTGTTTGCCCGGAATTGACAGTGAGTACATGGCGGGTGTGACCGGTCAACAGGGGATGCTTACTCCTCCATGGCACCTGATCCTGCCTCTGATATTTTTTGAGGTCCGTGTTTGCTTTGCTATTGATTTATATTGTTTCAATGGACTTTTGAGCTTGATTACTGTTCGTTATCTCCATATTACATTCTGGGTTTTAGATTACTTTTGGTCTGTAAACTTTCTCTTTGTTTACTTGTGAATATCTTATTTACGCTACAAATTTACTTATTTTGGGGTTGCTAATTTATCAAGCAAGGAAAGAATTAAACAAAAGTCAAACTATATTGAAAATAAAGACATAGTGCTGGGATTTTGGAAGCAAACAACAAATAATAAAAAGATGAAAAAGTCATTAACTTTTTTTCGTCAACAACATCAAAATTCGAATTTATTTGACTATATTGTTGTTTACACGTTAATTATCGTCACCCGCGTGGCGCAGTGGTTAGAGTGTCTGCTCTAGAGTCGCAGAGTAAGGAGTTGATCCTTACGTCGCGGGTTCGAATCCCACTGTTGGACGTGGAGACCGGTCCTTCGGATGAGACCGTATAAACCGAGGTCCCGTGTCGCAGTAGGTGCTGGCACGAAAAAGACCCCCTCTGCTCAATGGCTGTAAGTGCCGAGCATAGGACAAAATTTGCAGCTCTTCACCGGCTTGTGGTGGCGTCTCCATATGCGTGAAAAATTCTCGAGAGGGACGTTAAACAACATACAAACAAAAACACGTTAATTATCCAACTTTATATTTAAGAATTCAGATGTATACCCCACATTGTCCATTTTATTTTTGTTTTGTTAAAGGATGTGGTCCAGGTTTAATAACCTTAGCTGATGGAGAAACCAAGACCATAACTTCACCTAATTTTAATACCGGGGGACCATATCCCACCGGTAAAAGATGTGTTTGGTTAGTGAAGGTAGGTAATTCGGGAGGATCTATGTGTAAACGTCTTCTTGATTAATTCAGTATCCCTTGGGTGAATGAGTGATATAATAGAAGTGCATATAGCAATATATAGCAACACACAGTGTGAAAAAGTTTAAAACGAAGAAACAGAAAGAAACAACGTAAGCATAAGCGCTCAAGTTTATTAATAACAAAATGTTATGTTTGTGAAGCACTGAAGCCCCCGTATGACAGCTCATGAAAAAGGTATAAGTTTCTCAAATGCAAGTTAAACTCCAAGGTCAAGATGACTGGCCAAGAGATCAAAATTGTAGGTGCCCAAGGGAAGGTCCTGTCACAAGGAATACTCCTGTGAAAAATGAAAACCCTCGCACCAACTAATTAAAAGTTATGGCCAAGGTTAAAGGTTTTTCAAACATACAGATAGGTCAAACTCCAAGGTCTAGAATAAAATGTCAAAACTATTGGTACCGAAGCAAAGGACTTGTCACAAGGAATACACTTATAAAATACTAAAGCCCTAAAAGCAACCGTTCAAAAGTTGTGGCCTAGGTTAAAGTTTTTCAAAAGTAGGTCAACCTGTAAGGTCAAGATCAAAGGGTTTAAAGTGTTGGTACCCCAGGAAAGGTCTTGTCACAAGATTTACACCTGTGAAATATGAAAGCCATATCACAAACCGTTCAAAAGTTATGGCCAAGAATAAAGTTTTTTAAATGTAGGTCAAACTCAAAAGTCAAGGTCAAAGGGTCAAAATTGTTAGTACCCAAGGAAAGGTCTTATCACATGAAAAACACATTTTTAATATAAAAGTATTTTAAATTTAATCAAACCCAAGGAAAGGCTTTATCACAAGGAATGCACAGTATAGTATGAACCTTTCACCAACTGTTTTAAAGTTATGGCCAAGGTTAAATTTTGGTAAAGTTTTGTAAAAGTGAAACAAACCCCAAGGTCAAGAGGTCAAATATGATGACACTCAAAGAAAGGTCTTGTTACAAGATATACACATGTGAAATACGAAAGCCATAGCTCCAACCAGTTAAAAGTTATGGCCAAGGTTTAAGTTTTTGCGGACACACAGACAGAAAGGCAGACGGACGTACAGAGCAACCCCCCCCCCTTGAATTTTCGATTACGGGGACATAAAAATATTTTTATCTTTAATTTTTGCATTTGTAAAGCAATATTGTTTAATTTCAGATAGATCGATCTTATTTCAAAAATGATTCAATTATTTTTTTTATTTTAATGGACTAGTTATGTGATATCTTGAAAGGTATACGAGTACCTAGAGCTTTTCTTCTAATCTTTACTAGTCTTTATTTTTGATTTTTTATATTACATTATTCAGGCTTCTAGTGGAAAGAATGTCGCTATGAGGATAGACGAGATGGATTTAGCAACTGATGACGGGGCTTGTGCTCACTGGCTAGAGATCCAGTATAATTTGATCGGACAGAGTGGTCCAAAGTAAAACGATAAATAAGTATATTCATTTATAAAAATTTGTATGAATATGCAATGTAAAAAGGCTAAAAAATAAGTAAATGTAAGTAAAAATATATATATAAGGAAAATAAGGAAACAATGGTTAGAGTTTGGGGGACTGTTTTCATTTTTGAGCTTTTAAAACCGTCAACGTAAGCCATTTTTGTAATTAAAGACAAAAATTTGTATAGATTGTATACGGATTTATATATATATATATATATATATATATATATATATATATATATATATATATATATATATATATATATATATATATATATATATATACTTAAATAAATAAAAACAGAATGCTACAGTCCAAATTAAATAAAATCTTTACTGTTAGCGCTTTCAGCCATGTTGGCTCTTCAGACAAAATTTCAAAACGTTGTCAATAACGTTGCTAATGACGTCGTGATTATATATATATATATATATATATATATATATATATATATATATATATATATATATATATATATATATATATATATATATATATAACCGGTTACAAAATCTGTAATCGGTTAGTCGGAAAAAAATAAAACAGGTGTAAATTTCCTTAAAACACGTTTTACAATGTTAAAAAACCCAGAATGTCGATAAGTTATAACGTTTCCACAATTAATTCGGCTGATTTGGAGGTAAAAAATTAAATTAAGACTCTCAAGATTGAATTTGTGGGGGGTAATTGGTCACTTTGCGAAGTGTTAATTGCTGTTTAAATACCATGGCGTTACCCAGCCTGTCTTAATTATGATACTTATTAAATCTTTGTTGAGTTCTGTTAAATGATTTAAATAATTGCAATGTGTATCTTACCCTGTCTATCCTTCGCCAGGGTTGGGGTCAATTACTTTGAAATGTAATTAAATACTTTCAAATACATTGAAAAATTGTGTCAATTACTTGCAATTACAATTACATTGATTTTTTACAAATGTAATTAATTACTCTCAATTACTTTGAAGAATGTAATTAAATACATTTCAATTACTTTTGTTTCACTTTCAAAAATCTTGAAGAACAAATACATGTAAATTAAAGGTGGGGGAATATTTAAAATAAAAAATCTCAGGTGTCTGTCATGTTTGTAGCTGCAGGTCTGTAGCTTGCTGGTCTGAAAAAATGGGATGGACGACCAGAGAGTTTGTGTGTTTCCTCAACACAAGACCTAGTCCTACATGAACATTTATCAATTGACCGCCATTATGAAATTTGATTAAAATTTTTGAAGAGTTTATGAATCAACCATAAAATACTTTCAAATTATTTCAGTTACACAGGTTGGCAAGCTTAACACCTTAAATGGCAAATGTTGACAATTTTCATACAATAAATAATACTTCATTTATGTAATAACTATTAAAGATACCAAATGCATATTTGTATATAAAGATCTGTTTAACTGTTAAAATAGTGATTCAATTTAATATATATTTCTTTTCTGAAGTATATAAATTGTAGAACATTCTTAATAGTATTTAATAAATCACCTCTAATGGTCATATCTTTGAATTTAAACAAAGCATGGTATAGAATAATATAAAAATTTGGAGGGTTGTTTTGATAGCAATTTACAGCTGGGAGTTGAAGGGCAACAAGACAGGTCTTTATGACACATTAAATTATTTTTTTTCTTTTTTTGATAATCAAGCAACAAAAAATTGTAATGTTTTCATGCCTATATCAATGAGAGGTAGAACAAAATTTTTGATAAACATTAAACTAGTATTAATTTTTTCTGTACATTATGATTATAAAACAAACATATTTTTATAAACTAGCTAATATATCAAATTCATTTATCAAGATATAAAAAGCTTAAGATTTTGAAAAACAGAAGGGTTTCTTTGAATAAATTAAAATAATTGTAAAATGTGACTGTGTTGGAAATATTTCCCTATTAAATACACAATATGTATAATGTAAAGTAATTAAAATGTAATTGAAAAGTAATTGAAATTACAGGGTATTTTTTCCAATGTAATTAATTATATTCAATTACAAGTAATTGAAAAAATGGTCAATTACAAATTACTTCCAATTATTTTGAAGAATGTAATTAATTACACTCAATTATAATTACTTTTTTCAATTACCCCATCCCTGTCCTTCGCAGTTATCTATGAAATTATATTTTAAAACAATCATTGTAAATTATTTCAGTTTCTGTTTATGGTGACAATGCACAATGACCTTGTATTGTAATAATATCAATTTCTGCGATTTTTAAGAAATGTTTCATGGTTTCCTTATTTTTCTTGCCGTTCGAAATTGAAATAAAATATAATATATAGCGTACTAATCAAGCATTAACGCCTTTTTCAGTTTTCTTGTGTATATAACTAGAGTTTACTGGAAAAATAAAATATAAGGAAAATGTGTATTTTGATACGATTAATCAATTAATCGGTCGGAACGTCTTTCAGTTCAACGATTAGCAATTCAGTATTCGATTGTCATCCCTTATATATATATATATATATATATATATATATATATATATATATATATATATATATATATATATATATATATATATATATATATATATATATATATATATATATATAATAAAGTGAACTTCAAAGGCAGAAATTAAATGGCAACAATCATTTACATATATATAAACTATATAAAATAAAATAAACACTATTGCACCATCGCCCAAAACGACTTTCGAGTCAATAGCACGATGTCAAAATGGTGCGATGGAGCGGTGTCCGCTATAATGGAAAAGCAATGGTGCGATAACACGATTCAGAGATAGCAAGCATTGCCTCGTCGATATCATGTCTTCACGTCATCGTACCATTGCTCAACGATGCCATCACAACATCGTCAATGTATCTTCGTCATCGGACTCTAGCGCCATCGTCATCGTGTCATGGCCCTATCGACCCAAATTTAACAAGAGGCCCAGGGGTCACACCGCTCACCTGAGCACTGAGGCTAGGAAAAAAGCAAAAATCAGATTAGTATTGCAATGCTTAAATGCAGAAGTGGTCCCGACCTACCCCTAAAAGGGAGGGGGTATGATTTGAACAAAATTGAATCTACACAAACTAAGGATGCTTACATATTTTTTTTTTACTAACTGTGACTTTTTTCCTACAAGTTTAAACTTTCATTGTGGCCCCTACCTACCCCTGAGGGTCATGATTTGATCAAACTTGAATCTACACTATATGAGGATGCTTCCATATAAATATACCAATCATGGCACTGTTGTTCTTGAGAATTTTTTTTAAAGATTTCTCCTATATATCCCTATGTAAAACTTTGATCGTCCATTGTGGCCACTACCTACCCCGGGGGTCATGATTTGATCAAATTTGAATCTACACCACCTGAGGATGCTTCCATTTAAATATGACCAATCATAGCTTTGTTGTTCTTGAGAAGATTTTTTGAAATTTTTCTTATATACTCTTATGTAAAACTTTGTGTTCCTACCCTACTCCAGGGATCATGATTTGAACAAATTTGAATCTACACCACCTGAGAATGCTTCCATATAAACATGAACAATCACAGCTTTGCTGATCTTGAGAAGATTTTTGAATATATTCCCTATATATTCCTATGTAAAACTTCCCAAGGATCGCCCACTGTGACCCCATCCTATCCCCAGGGGTCATGATTTGAACAAACTTGAATCTACACTACCTCATGATGCTCCCACATTAGTTTCATATTTTCTAACACAGTGGTTCTTGAGAAGAAGATTTTTGAAAGATGCCATAAATTTTTTCATGAATTCGCAATTATCTCCCCTTGGAAGAAGGCGTGACCCTTCATTTGAACAAACTTTAATCCCTTTCCCCCAAGAACACTCTGTGCCAAGTTAGGTTGAAATTGGCCCAGCAGTTCTGGAGAAGAAGATGAAAGTGTAAAAAGTTTACGACAACAACGGCAACGACAGACAACGGACAAATTTTGATCAGAAAAGCTCATTTGAGCCTTTGGCTCAGGTGAGCTAAAAAGTGTGATGGTTCAATCAAGAACTACATGGTTCCATCCGGCTACCATATGAATATAATGCACGGCCGTTTCATTAATTGTCAAGCAACTTCGACTGAGCTTATTTATCTGCTTGTTTTTCGAGCATTATATGTAATATGGTGAAAAGGAAGAGGTATTCATTTTTTAAAAAATGTTATTCTCACTTCCCAAGCCAAAATTTTTCTGAAATAGCTGTTAATATTTGTACTAAACTCTTTCCAAAAGTACAAAATGTTTTCTTTGTTAACCCATTTGACAACAGCATGCAATATATATTCGTTTCATCCAAAATGATCACTTAATGGTGATAAAGATTTACAAACTTTGATGCTTTTGGACATTAAATGAAAATTTTATGTTATTCCAGTATTTCCTTTTTTTCTGCAAATTTCTGTTTAATGATACCCCAAAATGATCCTGTGCCATTTTCCCCCAGAGAAACTGTAGGAAGATAAGACTTTTTATACATATATGTTAAATGCATACAATTTACTTCTCATTCTGCTTTTTAAAAATGATGAAATTGTACTCACGCATACATTGAATGTTCCAGACGCTGTGGAAAGTTCTCACACGAGACATACGTGACATCAGACTACGGGGACCCGTCCATGATGTTACTGATTTTTAACAGTTCCTTTGCTCCAAATATACAACCAGGCAAAGGCTTTACTCTGTCTGTGTCATCTGTAGGTGCAGGTAATCTAAAAATAAAACACTATATAACATATATGCTATGAAAACCAGAGTATGATATGGTGACATTCATGATGTAAAGATATTCTACACCTCTTAAATTGAAATCAAAGATAACTGGTCTCTCTTAACTTATTCAAAAATTATAGGTTAGAATCAGTTTCGACAAAGAAATCCGTCAGTAAACAGAATCTTGCTATAGTCTGTTTGTTTTGAATTTCATGGAGAAAATATGTATATGTCTACTTCTTCGACGTTTAAACTATGCATGCATGTTTGCAGAAAAGAACGTTTTAAACAGTACAAATTGACAAAAATACAATTAAGAATCTAAGACTACCACTGATGGTTGAAGAAGATTGAATACTAGTTAAAATTTTACGGAGAGATGGGATACATTTAAACTATTGATGAAAACTGAAACTTGGTATTCAGCTTATAAATCATATCTCATGCCAGTCGATATATATCCGCTTCCAAACTATACTACCTGATCCCTTTCTTGTAGAATTCTTGTAGTCTCACCAAAGTTGTTGAGAAATCCTCGAGTATTTTATTTGCCGACCAACACAGGTTAAAAGATTCGAATACAGAAATATAGGAGACATGTAAACGAAAAGGTTACATTAAATTTCAGTCTAAACCACTATACAATATCAGTGAATTAAATGTACCCTGTTTGCTTTTTGGAATACGTATTGAAAATAAGAAAAAGAAATAAAAATTTAGATTATTTTTTTTAAATTACTTTCATTTTTTATATTTTTTCTTAATTTGTTGTGCATAAAATGAAAAGATAATGAAAAGTGATGATGCTCAAAAGCCCATAAAAACAATACAAACTGTGAACAGAACCCACACGTACGTCTGGAATCAGGTGCCATGGAGGAGTAAGAATCCCCTATCGACTGGTCACATCCGCCGTCATGATCGGGTAAACGGAAAAAATCCATAGAATGCAATTCAGTGTGGCCTAACAACTTTAAAAATAACAGATGTCAGTCAACATTTGTCAGATAATGTCAGATTTTATCGATCGGGAGGCCCGGCTTCGATTCTTGTTCGCCGCGCCGCTTCAAACCTAAACATAGGTTGTGACTGTTTCTTCGCCAAACACCCGGCATTAGAAGTGAAAGTTGTGGGTCTTTCGGATTAAAATCGAAGTCCCAAGTCACGGTAGGCGTTGGCACGATAAAGAATCCTCATTGTTCGATGGCCCTGAGCCCTTCACAGTGGCGTCTCTATATGAGTGAAATATTCACGAATGGGACGGTAAAAAACGTACAATCAATCAATCAATCCTCATATCATTAATTTATTTATCAGTAGCCTGTCTTATTTTAGAAATTGTTCCTACGTAGAACATGCTCTTGCGCATCGAATCAACTGATAATGTTAAAAAGCTACTTAAAAAATAAGGAAAATTGACAATAGAGGAGTGGGAGTAATTGTCTTTTATGTGAAAAAGCCTTGTCTTTGATTTATCGTGGGAAATGGTTGTATAAAGTGTTGAAAAGTACGGTTTGCTGCTATTGATTTGTTAACGAAAATTTTGTGATTTCAAATCTGTTTAAAAATTTTGGGAGTTTTTAACTATCCACATCTGATTAACACCACTTCTCAAATATGTTGTTGAACAGCAATTCTAAAGTTTCTCCTTCACTGACCGGTCACGTTAGCCTAGTGCAGGGAGTTCGTTTCGTGATCAGGAGGCCCGCGCCGCGTCAAACCTAAGACGTAAACATAGGTAGCGACTATTCCTTCACCAAGCGCCCGGCACTAGAAATGAAAGTCACAAGTCTTTCGAATGAGACCTTAAAACGTATCCCATTGATACTGCTCAATGACCCTGAGTGCCGAGTGTAGGTCCAAATTTGTAGCCCTTCATAGGTATATGGTGACGTTTCTATATGAGTGCAAAATTCTCAAATGAGATGTTAAACAACATACAATCAATTAATTAACCTCCTTCACTGCCTTTAAACTTTCTTTGAGAAGTAAAGAAAGAGGATTTGGTAAAACATTTACAAGAACCCGCTATGTATCTTTGTTTGTAAGGATAAAACTTTCTTTTCTGATAAACATGCATCTGTGGTTTGTATCTATCCTAATTTTCCCCCACGAAGTTTTTTTAAGAAAAATATACTAAAGCGCAATGCATTGTTTACTGCTGAATATCTTTGTCGACACCAAGTTTGAGACATATTGTCTTTAATGTCTTGCCTAGTATATGTTTTCTGTATGTTTGAAAAATTCCGTCTGGATTCAGACTTTTAAAATCTTCACTGGAATGGAATAAATCATCGTTTAATTCTTGACAACAATGAAAAGAAGTAGTGCTATTTAACCTTGCTTAATTTGATCGCTGAAAGATGTTAAAATCAAGTGACTTATATTAGATGTGTTTTCTTATGTTGTTTGTACAATATTTAGGCTGTAAATCTGTACTTTGTGTCTTTGGACATGTATTGATGTCCTTAGAACAATATTTAGGCTGTAAATCAACATGTGTCTTTGGAACATGTATTGTTGTTAAATAGGCTGTAAAAGTCTACCTTGTGTTTTTGGAACTGTTTATTTGGAACATGCATTAATGTTTGTAATTAGGCTGTAATTTTTTTCTTTGTGCATTTGGAAAACGTATTGATGTCCTTAATACAATATTTAGGCTGTAAGTCTGCACAATGTGTCTTTGGAACATGTACTGACGTCGGATCCAGTGATTTCAACTGCGCATGTGCGGCCGGATATACTGGACGGCTGTGTGATACACTTGCTGGTTAGAAACCTTACTGCATGTATCGTCCTTGAATCATTAAAAAGAGTTAAAGAATTATTTTTGAGATTTTGTCGTCGAGACTTTGCAGGATCATCGAAAAATATTGAAATCAATCAAGCTTAAGTCATTTTAAACCAGAAAAAACATATCCTTAAAATGTAAACTCTCAAGATACATGATAACTACTCCTTTCTTAAAAGTTTTTTGTATCAATCATCGACAGTGTGTTACTTAATCTCTTGATTAAATTATTTTTATGCATGATGTTTCGTCTAAAAATGATAAATATATTCACTTGACAGGTTCCGGGGATATATTCTGTGACTTTGAAGGAGACGTGTGTGGCTTTAGCAACTTAAAATCAGACTCCTACGACTGGATTATAAAATCGGTATTGTTAATATAACAAGAATGGAGCATTCCTTTAAAGTGATTTATTGGGTCAGGTCATCACACCTTTGACGTCTTTGAACGCGTAAATGACGCATTAACTCGGAATCTGATCAACCTAGTCATGATAAAATTGATAGATGTTGGTTTAATATGCAAACAAAAATTTGGATATCTCACTGTAAAGTCAAAGTCAACAAAATGAAATAATAAACTGAAGCTAAATTTGAATCAAAATTTGGCAGAGGTGAACTAATCATTTTGATTGCTTGAGTGATTATACGTTGTTTAACGTCCCATTCGAGAAAGTTTCACTCATATAGAGACGTCATCAAATGCCGGTGAAAGGTTCAAAATTAGACCTATACTCAGCACTCAAGGTAATTGAGAGAGAAGGTTCTTTATCGTGCCAACGCCTACCGGTTTTTAAGATATCATCCAAAAGACTCGTGTCTATCACTTCTAATGCCAAATCTTTTGAGGAAAGCTGTGAATCATTTACATTAGCCCTACATTCATTATAAAGAAAAGGACAAAAAGAGAGATGCATCGTGCTTTATTATCAAGTTTGCATTTCATAGGGTTTCACTCCTTCTGGAGGCACTGGTCCTTCTCGAGCGAGGAGCGGATCCAACTATTTATATACAGAAATGTCATATCCTGTACCTACTGGGACTACATTTCATTACGAAACACCTTTCTTGACAGGTAATGCTATATGCTAATATATTTTAAAGATATTTATTGAAAAGACCCTATAGTGTAATCGTTTTTGCACAGATTATGCTCAAAAAACCTTTGTTGGGACCATTAAAATTGCCCGACATAATATTTTTGTAAAAATGAAAAAGTATTTTTCTGGTAAATTTGAAATTAATAAATTTTTATGCCTTCAAGTGGGACTTATGTTCGCAATATCTGAGGAAAATCCATTTTTTATCCTCTACTGATTTTAGAATTTAGTCAATTCAATTGTCATTAAAAAATTACATAGAAAGTTCCTCACAGTGAATAAATATAGCCAAGATACTGTACTTAAAGAGGGAGTGATTTTTTTTCAAAAATACATACAAGAGCATTGACTGAAAAATGAGACCTTTTTCAATCTTGCTTCTTCATATTTTTTTTAAACCAAAGCTGGTCAAAGATGCCTCGTGTTCTGGTATCATATGTATGGTTCCAGTATGGGAACCCTAAACGTGCTTCGGGATGCAACTATAGTGTGGACTAGAAGTGGAGATCAGGGGAATCAGTGGCAGAAAGCGGAATTAAACATACATGGATCAACAAACTACAAGGTAAAGTCAATTTAAGTCCACTTGTCTTTAATTAGTAAAATATCAATGTTTGTATTTTTGCAATCCTTAGCATTGCAATGTGTCATTTTTTATTTTACAATCGTTTTAACTGAACAAATCAAAAATAGATTAGCATGTTTATATATAACTAGTATTACTGGTCTTTCTGTCAATCAATAAGTCTAATGAATTATTGTCTATAAAATACTTTAGGTCACCTGAGTCACTGGTTTTCAGGGCTTAAATGTTCCATTTATACTGTACTTTTTCTATTAAAAAATACTAGTAATTAATTTGTATTTGTCATTTTTTAATTACACTTATATGTGAGACAGAACATTTTTTTGCCATCAATCAAGAGGCGACTGTCTTTAGACATTCATTTCGTTTGCCAGCTCCTTCCATCAATCAATTAAATTCACTTCAGAAGTATCCAGTTCTAAAAACATATTAATGGATACTACATCTGATTGATGGCAAAAGGATTTCAGTCTCCACACGAAATACACTGCTTCTCACTTGATTATATCTCAAGCCGAAAAGCTTTCATCCCCCACACACATTCAAGGGTGTATCTAAAGGTCTAGCCACCAAAATCCACCGCATCTGCTTTGTACAAGGAAGAGAACAATCTCATTCCCATTATTGCAAGAGATGCTACAAAGCCCACACCGTACAAACCGCTATTGATGAGATGGCAGGATACGACAGACAATACCTTTTACAATACAAAGCAATGAGGGTTCCCCTGTACCACCCCGTCCTTAAGAACTGGTATTCTTAAAAGGACCTGCCAATTCTTTACTCCAACAAAGACTTTCAGGAATCTCCATTGGCTGTCTATAGATGCCCGTGTTACTTAAAGGATATTACAGTACGTGTAAACATTAGGAACCCATTACCTAACGGGGATGACATAAGAAGCACAGCTCTGACACAGACAGTTTTAACAGCTTCCTTACAGTACAGAATATTAGGGAATGTATCCTGTCAAACAGATAATTGCTTATATATCATCAACTGCAAGGTTTGTCAAAAACAGTATATTTGGAAAACGGAAAGGTTCGCAGAGGAATCAATATTCACCATTCTGCAATTATGACCAAAAAAATCAATGGATGAAATATGGAACATTTCAGCCTCGAAGATCACAAATGAGAGGACTTGACGGTAGAAAGATTACGCAAGAGAAAGTAACAAAACAGTTTTCGAACGTTAGTCTAGCGATCGTGCAGACTGACCGGAGCACATTTGATAAAGAACAAGGTGCGGTTTCAATACAAATCTTGTCCTGTGTTTTTCTTAAAAATAAAAAAGATGTAAAAAATTAAAACTCATGCTTTCTGAATCATTGAAATTCCATGCAGAAAGATCATAAAAATCTTTTTCTCACATGACCTTCTAAATGCTAATTATGATGTCATAAACTTGTGCATTTTCCCGTATTTTTTTAAAAAGTTGCAGAAGACACCAATTTCCAATGGAATTTTCTTTCAGATAATATTGTCCACATGCATCGCCCACAAAAATTTTCAAATATGTGATTTTTCAAAGAACTTTACACAACATATCCGAAAATTAAAGTGGGCGACGGCGGTGGACACTATTTTCTTAAGGATTAAACCCTTGAAATGGGTCATTTTGAATCTTTTTCTGTTTAAAAAAGAGAAATGCCTCATATTAATGACGTCATATTTCCAGAATGGTACTCCTTCATGCCATATTCTTTCCTGATTTATCACAGTCATATACTCAACTAATATTTGAGCCAGTTTCAAATTTTTTTGAAAACTTTAAATTTTTAGGACACAATAAAGTTAAAACCATACCTTCTTCATCGTTTCTGGTTGGTAATTGTCTAGTTGTAACTCGCACAGGCCCTATGGACACCAACAAATGCAAATTTGTCATGTACGGGAAAAGATGAGCACGAGTTCCATTAACGTAAACCTACGTGTATACCTTACTTCAAGCAGACCTAGCATGCTTAAAGCGGACATCTCAGTCCAGTGGTATCTGTTCAGGGTTTTGAACGGTATCCGATAAGGTTTAACTGGATATTTACCACTACATTTGCTTGCACAATTAAACCATGCACACTTATTCCTAGCAATAGTTATATATCTCATGAATCTAATCTTGATGTTTGAAGTAAAAATTGATTTGTTTATATAAATACAATAGGTAATTTTTGAGGCAATAAGGGGGAGTGATTACCAAAGTGATATTGCCATAGATGATATTTCCTTGACCTCAGCTGCGTGTGGTAAGTACAAATCCATCTTCAGCTAGTAGGCTGAACAGCAACGACTATACTTAAATCTGTTGGTGCAATGCATTATTTTTTCGTTTTTTAAAATCAAGTTTATATGGTTGTTTTAAATCCATGCAAATTTATTTATCTAGGTACTCCTACAACATCATCTACTACTACTACTACTACTACTACAACTACTACTACTACTACACCATCAACAACAACAACTACACCAACAACAACAACTAGTCAACCAGAAGAAATCGGTAAGTTGAAATTGAACAAAGTACCTTAAGTACATCTCTCAAAGATAAAAAAAGGTACTCTTACATCATCATCTACCACTACTACTAATGCTACTACTTCTACTACTACTACACCTTCAACAGCAACAACAACTACATCATCATCAACAACTACACCATCAACAACTACATCATCATCAACAACTACACCATCAACAACAACTACACCATCATCAACAACTACACCATCAACAACTACATCATCATCAACAACTATGCCATCAACAACAACTACACCATTAACAACTACAACACCTTCAACAACAACTACACCATCAACAACAACTACACCATCAACAACTAGATCATTATCAACAACTACACCATCATCAACAACTACACCATCAACAACTACATCATCATCAACAACTACACCATCAACAACAACTACACCATCATCAACAACTACACCATCAACAACTACATCATCATCAACAACTACACCATCAACAACAACTACACCATTAACAACTACTACACCTTCAACAACAACTACACCATCAACAACAACTACACCATCAACAACTATACCATCAACAACTACATCATCATCAACAACTACACCATCAACAACTACATCATCATCAACAACTACACCATCAACAACAACTACACCATCAACAACTACATCATCATCAACAACTACACCATCAACAACAACTACACCATCATCAACAACTACACCATCAACAACAACTACACCATCAACAACTACACCATCAACAACAACTACACCATCATCAACAACTACACCATCAACAACTACATCATCATCAATAACTACACCATCAACAACAACTACACCATTAACAACTACTACACCATCAACAACAACTACACCATCAACAACTACATCATCATCAACAACTACACCATCAACAACTACTACACCATCAACAACAACTACACCATTAACAACAACTACACCATCAACAACTACTACACTAACAACAACAATTACACCATCAACAACAACTATGCCATCAACAACAACTACACCATTAACAACTACAACACCTTCAACAACAACTACACCATCAACAACAACTACACCATCAACAACTAGATCATTATCAACAACTACACCATCATCAACAACTACACCATCAACAACTACATCATCATCAACAACTACACCATCAACAACAACTACACCATCATCAACAACTACACCATCAACAACTACATCATCATCAACAACTACACCATCAACAACAACTACACCATTAACAACTACTACACCTTCAACAACAACTACACCATCAACAACAACTACACCATCAACAACTATACCATCAACAACTACATCATCATCAACAACTACACCATCAACAACTACATCATCATCAACAACTACACCATCAACAACAACTACACCATCAACAACTACATCATCATCAACAACTACACCATCAACAACAACTACACCATCATCAACAACTACACCATCAACAACAACTACACCATCAACAACTACACCATCAACAACAACTACACCATCATCAACAACTACACCATCAACAACTACATCATCATCAATAACTACACCATCAACAACAACTACACCATTAACAACTACTACACCATCAACAACAACTACACCATCAACAACTACATCATCATCAACAACTACACCATCAACAACTACTACACCATCAACAACAACTACACCATTAACAACAACTACACCATCAACAACTACTACACTAACAACAACAATTACACCATCAACAACAACTACACCATCAACAACAACTACACCATCATTTAAACAATGTGCTTAAATGTTTTGGAATTTATACAAAAGTCAAAATTTCATTGGCGGATATCAATCAAATTTATCATAGTGTATTCTCAAGCAAATTACCTTCATCTTAAAAGTTTTTTTTAAAAAGGTAACCTTGATGCAAAATAAGATAATATGAGAAATATAAAATGAATAGTTGCTTAAAATTCTTCCTTATATTCAAACCAAAATTTTAACATTTGGTTGCAGAAACATTATGTTATCAACTCACGTATAAAAACATTTTTTTTCCAGATCAAATAAATTGCGACTTCGAAGATGGGAATTGTGAACTAAGTAATCCTAAATCACAAGCTTACAACTGGATAATTATCTCGGTAATGTACATTTTTTGTAACTTGGCAATCTTATATATATATATATATATATATATATATATATATATATATATATATATATATATATATATATATATATATATATATATATATATATATATAATTTACGAGAAAATTTGTAAAATACCTACAGTTTTGATATAATTTTACAGGGAGGGACACCATCACGCTCTACAGGACCCTATAGTGCACACGGAGGAACTAAATATCTTTATGTGGAAACCTCTTCTCCTGTCCCCTCTGGAAACAAATTTTACTTCGAATCTCCATTTATTGTTGGTACGTCATCATCTATAGAAATGCACATGTATGGACACATAATTTTAGTTTTTAAGATAACGTTAAAAAATATAAGGGTGCATATGAACTAAACAAAAAAACTGAATTTATCATTTGTAAAGGCCCGTAGAACACGGGGGGGGGGGGGCACTCCCCCGGCACTCCCCCCACTTTTTCTGAGGATAGTATTTCTACAGTAAATTTTTTAGACCCCCCCCCCCCCACTTAATGTTGTAAGGTCGAGCACTGATTTATTCCATGATTTGGACAGTAAATTAGCCAGAGCTCCAGATAAGGTGCGTATTAACAGAAATATGCATTGCCAATTTTTCAAAATACGCATTAAAAATTTAAATTAAAAAAGCATCCAAATTTTCGTTCTTGACGCGTCGCGTCGATATTATCAAAATTTGCGCGCAACACGCATGGTGTCTAATTTATCCTTTTTCACTGTTTATCAAACAGTTCTTATGTATTTACCATTTTCTGTAGCCATAATATCATCTGAAGTCCGCCGACAACCTTTATTCATTTATGAAAATAATTGCTTTTTTGCTTTCCACATGCTCCTGTGCTAAAAATAGCGCCGCACGACTTATAATGCAAACGACAGGTAACTATAAAACTTTTACCTCGATCGATGACAACAATTTATATAGCAAAATCTAAAATATATTTTTGATAACATAAAAATAAAATGAAATTTTCTTGGTAACTCTTGCTACGATCAATAAATGGAGTTGTGTGTGCACATGGTAACTTTGCCTACCGTATCGTCTTTCTGGTGAAAGAAACGAAATGTTTCTCAGTTATAGCTAAAACCTGACAATTTTTAAAAAAAAATTTCATTAACCTAATTGATAAATGCAGAAACTATGGTGGCATATTTCTGCCCCTTGTGTTAAAGTTATTTTTCTATCAAATATGTCGACATGCAAGATAAATATGTTGACATGCAAGATAGTTATGTTAACATGCAACATAACTATGTTGACGTGCAAGAAAATTGCAATCAAATAAAAATTATAAAAAATCTTCAAAAATCGTAAATATCGCCCACATGTGACATCCAACATGCTAGATGCTATTTATTTATGTAAACATGCATTTTATTTATGTTAACATGCGAGATAAATATGTTGATATGCAACTTATTTATGTCAACATGCAACTTGGTTATGTTGACATGCAAGATAAATATGTCGACATCCAACATAAAAAACGTTTTATAATGTACGGTCACGTTTCTGAATCGCCAGGACATTTTATCTAAGGAAATTCAATTTATACTTTGTTGTCCACCTCATATTATAGAAAATAATTTAAGCTGCAACAATTGCTTGAATAAATTTCGATCATTAAAATCAACTTCAATTTTACCGACAGAAAAAAAAACAGAACCGTGCCTCATTGCACGTGTCTTGGGTAGTAACGAATCTGCACGCTCGCACAAATGTTCAAAGTTGCGTATCACATAATTTCTTTTGCATTTAAATTTAATCATTTAATTCAAAATCTTATCATTTTGAAAATAGATCATATTTAAAAAAGTATATATCCAAAATGAAATCACAAATCGATCATATTCATTGTAAACTTTTTCGCCATTTCTGGGTCTTCAGACACTTATATCGATTTGTGATTTCATTTTTGGATATTTACTTTTTTAAAATTATATATATATATCCGCTGCTCAACATAACTAAGTTGCATGTTGACATAAATAAGTTGCATGTTGACATAAATAACTTGCATGTTAACATACCTAAGTTGCATGTTGACATAAATAACTTGCATGCCAACATATTTATTTCGCATGTCAACATAAATAACTTGCATGTTGACGTAAAAAAAGTAACATCTAGCATATTGGAAGTCACCTGTTGGGCAATATTTGAGATTTTTTTATAATTCTTATTTGATTGCAATTTTCTTGCATGTTAACATAGTTATGTTGCATGTTGACATATTTATCTTGCATATCAACATATTTATCTTGCATGTCGACATATTTGACAGAAAAATAGCTTGCACACATTGGGCAGAAATATGTCACCATAAGAAACTGTCCTTTTTTGACATTCTTCTTTCAAGCACTTATTTCGATAAAAGCTCAAAATCACATTAGATGTCAAAAGAGCAATAGGTTAACAAAATTGATTTATTTTCTGAAAAGCAAAATCTGCTTTGGTTTGAAAATCAGGGAGTAAACACACTTTGGGATAAAAAAAAATATCTGGAGCTCTGATTAGTTTCTTTTTTTGGACCCCCCCCCCCCACTTTTGGTTAGTTTAGTTTTTTTTTGTTTTTGCTTGTAAGATTTCTTTGGACGTTCTCTCCTTTTAAAACCGTTGCTACGGGTCTGCTTGTAGGCATTAAGAGATTGGCCTGTTAATTCAGTTTGCAAAAGGTTTATTTACTAGTATCTGAAATTCCTTAAATTAGATCATATTAATCATTAATAATTAGTTTTTTAAATATTACGATAAGTTTCTATTTTTGCACATATATGCTTTTTTACAGTTCCATCGTGATTAATTTATTTATGCCTTTAGGCGGATCTAGATGTTTGACTTTCTGGTATCATATGTATGGTACTGCTATGGGAACACTTAAAGTTCTACAGAATGGAAATCCAGTCTGGACTAGAACCGGAGATCAAGGACTTGCTTGGATAAGAGCTGATGTCAACATAGGAACAGCGTCACGTTACAAAGTACCTTTATCTGTAGAACTACTATAGTTAAAAAATCTCATGTATATCTTACTTTGTAATTATAGTATACTTACAAACTACAAAAGAATATGCACTGTGAGATTTTTTGTGAAAGGTATTCTAAAGTTCGAAAATAAGCATTGAAATTCAATAATGCACAGTCTCTTATTAATAGCAATATATTTGTTTGTTTGTATGTTGTTTAACGTCCCTCTCGAGAATTTTTCACGCATATGGAGAAGCCACCACTTTCCGGTAGATAGCTGCAAATTATGTCCCATACTCGGCACTTACGGCCATTGAGCAGTGAGGGATCTTTTTCGTGCCAGCACCTACTGCGACACGGGACCTCGGTTTATACGGTCTCATCCGAAGGACCGGTCTCCACGTCCCACAGTGGGATTCGAACCCGCGACGTAAAGATCAACTCCTTACTCTGCGACTCTGGAGCAGATGCTCTAACCACTGCGCCACGCAGGCGACTAATAGCAATATAAAATAAATTTTAAATCAACAAAGATTTATCTGTCTGACATACATGTATATTTTGACTTGTTTGACACTTAACACTTATTTGAGAGGTAATAACTGATACATTATCATTATATACAACAAGATATCGTTTGAGGCCACCAAAGGAACCAGCTACACCAGTGATATAGCACTGGATGATATCTCTACAACAACAGGGGCTTGTATTGCAAGTAAGAGTAATATGTAAATTAAAAATTGTTGTATTAAACTTCTTCACATTCTTATATCACCTATAGACCGAACTGAGTTTTACTGATCAAAATTTGTCTGTTGTTTGTTGTTATCTTCGTCGTTGGCGTCAATATCGTCTTGATTTCATTTTCTTCTCCAGAACCAATGCGCCAATTTCAACCAAACTTGACACAGTGTATCTTTGGGTAAAAGAGATTTAAATTTGTCAAAATAAAGGGCAATAACCTTTTTGAAAGGGGATAAATTCAAGAAAATGTAAAAAAAAAAAAAAATCTTCTCAAGTACCATTGGGCTAGAAAAAATGAAACTTGTGAAAGCTTCCAGATATTGTGTAGATTCTAAATTGTTTAAATCAAATCCCCCGAGGGTAGACTGTTCCCACAGCTAGGGATCAGAGTATTACATGGGAATACGTATTAGGAATATACATGTATGCTTCAAAATGTTCTCAAGAATAGCAGGGCAATGATTAGGGAAAGGATGAAATATGCATACAGGGAAATGATGAAACAACAATAGGGTATCAAAGTTTAACATGGGTATATATAAGAAAAATAAAATATATAAATCCGTCCTTTCGTGAGCAATGGGGTCTTGATTAGTGCTATTGATATGCAAACATAGTCAATTTGATTTTTATACCCCAGGGGTACGATTAGGCCTCAATAGAAATTAAAAAAAAAGACGCCGTGGTCATGATCAATATTGAATGTGCAAGCATCCTCAGGTAGTGTAGATTCTTCAAATCCTGACACCCCCCACCCGGTTTAAGGTGGGGTCAGTGCATGGAAGAACAGTCGGGCCAAAGTTAATAAGTGAGCTTTTGTGGCCCTTTTGGTCTATTGTTTTAACAATGAACCGTAATGGTGGCAAATGAAATGCAATTTCTATGTTAAGGTCAAGATCTAGTAAATGAAAGGTGCCTACAGATTTCTCAAATTTGAGAAATAGATTCCTTTAATGGTGCTTTATAACTTTAGCTTGGTCAGATAAGGTGTTTCGGGGCATAATTTGTAGATGAACAAGACGAAAAATCATATTTTAAACTGTCATTTTCAATGGAAAATTAACAAAACTAGTCATGAATACGGGAGTTTTTTTTTCCATATCAGACAAAGAAATGCATCCAGATTGCCTACAGTCTCTCAGAAAACGATAATTTGTATGTTCTTGGCCTCTTCTTTAAAATAATATTAAATTGAATATAGGTATCGGGATTACTTTTCACATGATTTCAAATTGAGTTCTATGAAAGTACTTTATTTTCTACAAAATTCTACTAGAGCCGTAAAGTACGGGAAAAAGAAAGTTAAAATTGATTATGACGTCATAATGGATCTAGCACCAAAAAGTTAGTCTGAAGTCATTTACTAGATCTTGACCTTAAAAGCCAAAAAATATGTTCTTGTGAATGTAGAAAAAAAATCTGTAAACTAAAAAAATAAATGCTTGAAGAAATTTATCAACTTTCAAACTATCCAAGTTTATAAACTTCCATATAATCCATCATACAGACCCTCACAGAATCATAAATGTTTTTTTAAGGACAGATAAATTGTGACTTCGAAGATGATGATTGTCTACTTCGTAATCCCCCAACACAAACTTACAACTGGAATATCATTTCGGTAACATGCACTGTTTATTTAACTCGAATATTTCATTGAGTACTAATATTGTTTTAAAATACTATTGGTGCACAGACCTGTACAAATGTCTTTTTTGATATAAATTATATCGTTTCCTAGGGAGCAACACCTTCGAGCAATACAGGGCCATCTGGTGCCAAGGTTGGATCTAATTATTTGTATGCAGAAACGTCTTCCCCAGTACCCGTAGGGAATAGATTTCTTTATGAATACCAATTCGAAAATGGTAGGTCTTTACATAAAGAGAAAAAGTATCTTTAAAGGTGCTTGGACACAGATTTGAAGTTAATATTTTCTCAAATTTTCTGTATAATTTCATGACTTATATGTTGCTATAGCATTTCATACTAAAATAAAATAAAAATCTTATTTCATATCGAAGTTATTGAAACTTCAAATTTCTGGACGCGTTTGATTGACACACCCTTGCACTTTCACATATTTTAATTTTATTCTTAATACTTAAGAAAAGTGGCAATTTTGTTGTGTATTAATGAAAAATATCAAAACTATAATTCAGAAAATTCAGAGTAGAAATGTTCGAAAGCAAAACCACTCACAGTATTGTCATTCCGTGCTCAGTGGTGTGTGCAGACTTTAACAATTGAACACACCCGGTGAATCGTAAACATTAACAATAACAGAGCTCGTGCCCTGTTTACAAAAACAGTTTACGTTTCACGGGTGTATTCAATTTGTTAAACTCTATACACAACACTGAGCACGGGCTGACGATATTAATGAGGGGGTTTGCTTTCGAACATTTCTACTCTGAATTTTCTGGATTATAGATGTAATGTTTTTCATTAATACACAACAAAATCGTTTCTTTTCTTAAATATTAAGGATAAAGATAAAATTTGTGAAAGTGCAAGGATGTGTTAATCAAACGCGTCCAGGAATTCGTAGTTCCAATAATTTCCAGATAAAATAAGTTTTTAATTATATTTTCCTGTGAAATGCTATTGCAATATATAAGTCGTGATATTATACAGAAAATTTGAGAAAACATTAACTTCAAATCTGTGTCTAAGCACCTTTAATTAATATCAAAAAGCAAGACATTATTTGCAATGCCATATCTTTTGTTTTAAGCATACGTACGTAAGATATCTAATTACTCGGTGATTAATGAATGTACATGTGTATTATGATAGGCGGATCCAGGTGTCTGAGGTTCTGGTACCATATGTATGGCACTGGAATGGGAACACTTAGCGTTCTACAGAATGGAAATCCGGTGTGGACTAAAACAGGGAATCAAGGGAACCAGTGGATGGAAGTTTATGTAAACATAGGAACAACAACAAATTACAAGGTGCGCAGAAAATAACAAACTTCCTTTATTTGTGGTCAGTCCCTGTATTAGCCTAAAATCTTCAGTATTGAAGCTTATTAAGCTTTTTTTAAATAAAGTGCAATTGCGTAAATATATATATATATATATATATATATATATATATATATATATATATATATATATATATATATATATATATATATATATATATATTGAAAGAGGGAGAGAGAAATTGAGGAGAGAGAGAGAGAAACTGACTATGTTACATTTATATACAGATTTCGTTTGAGGCAGTAAAAGGAAACGATTATGCAAGTGATATTGCACTAGATGATATCTCTACATCAAGTGGAAGCTGTGGTGAGTACATAGTTAAAAATCAAGTTTGCATTTTATTCCGCTTCAGTGATATTTGATGGAATTATTGTCTTTTCTTTAATTTTAAGGGCCGGTAACCAGATCAAACTTGTCTGCAAAGGGGAGGGGGGGGAGAGAATTGATTGAATGCAATATTCTCAGAAAGCTTGTTTTACAAGTTGTGTTTTTGAGTAAGATCTGGTCTTCATTATTTGCCTCCATTTTTTCCCATTCGGATTTGAATCGGGAGTGTTACACTGTTACAGGACAACAAAAGTGTAGAAACTATATTTCGTTTGAGAAAATCTCTTGTGTTTTTTTTTTGAGTTATGGCATACTGCTACATAATATATGCAAACACATTGTGGGGAATACATAAGCAAATATGGTTTCAAAACCTTTCAGTATCTTCTAATGAGCGTAGGGAAGTTTTGCAAATGCAAAAAATGTATTGCATTTTCTATAATAATGCGACCTAGGAGACAATTCCGACTGAAACCCAGTTTAAGGTGGGATTGAAGGAATTTGGTAATATCAGCTAAAATGCCATGTGGAATATACTTTAACGAGAATGGTACTCAATTCAAAAACGTTCTGTAAAATTTTAGCACATAACATGCCTAACTGCCTAACTGCATTTAGGTCGTTGCTCGCGTGAAAAGGGGAGCAACTAATTACTACATCCATATCTATTCTTCAGTAGCCAAAAATGTGCATGAAATAATTGTGCATAAAAGTATTTTAGGTTAATTTTTTTTTAGCATTCATTCTTGTCTTAACTGAATTCCAATGAAAAATTCATAGTGAAATTTGTTTTGGTCACAATTCTCTCTTATTAAAAAATAATTTATGACTAATTTAAAGTCAATCGAAAAAGGAGGACACGTTAAAAACATCTCTCTAATCTTAATCAAAATGGTATGTCAACATCAAAGGAAAAGTCTATTTATGTTGCTATCGGACTGAAGTTTTGATATAAGAAACCTTTCAACAAAATATTTTCCTACAGCTATAGAAAGAACAGACTTAAAATGCATATGTCCCAAGAAATTCCTTTTTTTTAATTTGTCTTGAAATTTCTTCAAATTAACTTACCAGGAATTGTTAATAATTATTTACTCCCTTCAGCTTGATTTTCTGGTTGTACCTTTCTGTTATGTTTGTAGGTTGCGCGGCTGCGCCCTGTGTATATGGAACTTGTAATGACGTCGGAAATGATGACTTTTCTTGTTCCTGTAATAGCGGTTACACAGGGAGGCTCTGTGATACAATTGATGGTACAGTTGTGCATGATTATATTAAAAAAACATTTTGATTCTCTTTGCTCATACACATGAATATTTTCTCCATTGTTAAGACAAAGGTTTTTACCTTCCTGCCTTGTATTTGAATATTTTCTCCATTGTTTAGATAAACGTTTCACCTTCCTGCCTGGTATTTGAATATTTTCTCCATTGTTTAGACAAAAGTTTGACCTTCCTGCCTGGTATTTGAATATTTCCTCCTTTTTTAAGACAAAGGTTTTACCTTGCTTTCTGGTATTTGAATATTTCCTCCATTTTTTAGACAAAGGTTTTACCTTCCTGTCTGGTATTTGAATATTTTCTTCATTGTGTAGACAAGGTTTGACCTTCCTGCCTGGTATTTGAATATTTCCTCCATTGTGTAGACAAAGGTTTTACCTTCCTGCCTGGTATTTGAATATTTCCTCCATTGTGTAGACAAAGGTTTTACCCTCCTGCCTGGTATTTGAAGTTTTACTGTGTCTTTTTTTCTGTGACTATATTCTCCCGTCTTTATCACTCCCTTGGACTCCCCCCGCCCCCCCCCCCCCCCCGGAAAAAAAAATAAATTTATTTATTTAAACTCGCCAAAAAATCAAAAATTAAAGTGCAAACATTTCTGTAATGTTTACAGAGTTAGTATGAAGGACCCTCTCTACACTGCACCCTATTTTCAGGGTACTTTTGTGTAATTAGACTGATCTACCATTTGACATAAAAGTAGAATAAATTGTAATCTGAACTAAATCACATCATTTGAAATAAATCCAAGTATTCTAAACATTATATTAGACCAAGATAGAGTATTTGAAAACTTAATTGCATGTATTTTATTCATTTGAGTAAGAGAAGGCATTTTTTTTTCTATTACTTCATTGTCTTTGAAGATTTTTCCTGAATAAAAAAGGCACGCTCCCTATATTAAAAATGACTTAGTTAATTTCAAAATATCCTCCTTTATGCTAAATAATTTTCTCTAAGTCCCAACAACATTTTTTATCAGTGTACAGAGGGTCCTTAAAAGTATAAAAAAAAAATCCACAGAATACAAAGCGTCGATATTTCAACTCGTTTTTATACCAAAATCGCCAAATATTCCCGGCATTAAAACTATCAATTACGGCATTGACACTAACTATGGTCATATCTGGAATTTTTTAAAATGCTGATTTGCGTTCAGGTTTTGTAGCATGAAGATTAAGTAAGGTTCAAAGATTTCACCAGATGTAATATTTTGGGGCAAAGAATAGAAATTTAATTTCAGGAATTTTCTTTTAAATTATCTCATATTACATTTCTTTTCAGATGTCATTTGCAATTTTTAAGAATATTAACCGGTACCTATATCTTACAGAAAGACTTAATTTTGAGGCAAAGTAAAGCTAATGATGAAAATTAGTTAAGATGTAAACTCTTGCCAAAATCAAATTGTGCAAATTCTTTATTTATCCCCTCACTTGAATAAACGATATTGTTCATCTTAATGAATAATCACAGCTTTCAAAGAACATTTTTAGGTCACCTGAGTCACTCAGGTGACCTATTGCTATCTGTTTTCATCCGTCGTCGTGCGTCGTCCGTCTTGCGTTAACATTTAAACATTTTCAGCTTCTTCTCTGAAACCACTCAACCAATTTTAACCAATTTTGGCATATAGCATCTATGGGTAAAGGGGAACAAAAATTGTGAATTTCATGGTCCCTGCCCCCCTGGGGCCTGAGGAGTGGGGCTGAAACCACCAAAATTAATGCAATCTTAAAAAATCTTCTTCTTTACTCCTGGAAATCAAGCAATCAAACTGTTGACATGATTGTAATAAGCATTGAGCCCTCTACCAAAATTGTGAAATTCATGGCCCCAGGGTCAGGGGTTCCGGTGCTAGGGCGGGGCTATATAGATCATATAGTGAAAGTGCATTATTTCTTTGAAAATCTTCTTCTCTACTACTGGGTACTATTGAAACAAATTAAATACATAGTTATGATAAGCAAGGGTGACTCTACCAAAATTGTGAATTTCATGGCCCCAGGGTCAGGGGTTCCGGTGCTAGGGCGGGGCTATATAGATCATATAGTGAAAGTGTATTATTTCTTTGAAAATCTTCTTCTCTACTCCTGGGTATTATTGAAACAAATTGAATACATAGTTATGATAAGCAAGAGTGACTCTACCAAAATTGTGAATTTCATGGCCCCAGGGTCAGGGGTTCTGGTGCTAGGGCGGGGCTATATAGATCATATAGTGAAAGTGCATTATTTCTTTAAAAATCTTCTTCTCTACTCCTGAGTATTATTTAAACAAATTCAATACATAGTTATGATAAGCAAGAGTGACTCTACCAAAATTGTGAAATTCGTAGCCCCAGGGTCAGGGGTTCTGGTGCTAGGGTGGGGCTATATAGATCATATAGTGGAAGTGCATTATTTCTTTGAAAATCTTCTTCTCTACTACTGGATATTATTTAAACAAATTAAATACATAGTTATGATAAGCAAGGATGCCTCTTCCAAAATTGTGAATTTCATGGACCCTGGATCAGGGGTTCCGGTGTTAGGATGGGGCTCTATTTATTATATAGTGAAAATGCATTAATGTTTTAAAAATCTTCTTCTCTGCTCCTGGGTATTATTTAAACAAATTAAGTACATTGTTATGGTAAGCAAGGATGCCTCTTCCAAAATTGTGAAATTCATGGCCCCAGGGACAGGGGTTCTGGTGCTAGGGCGGGGCCATATATATCCTATAGTGAAGGTGAATTATTTCTTTAAGAATCTTCTTCTCTGCCCCTGGGTATTATTTAAACAAACTATTAGTACATTGTTATGATACGCAAGGATGCCTCTTCCAAAATTGTGAATTTCATGGCCCCGGGGTCAAGGGTTCTGAAAAAAAAGGGGGGCTCTATTGATTATATAGTGAAGAAGCAAAATTTCTCTGAAAATATTCTTTTCTGCTTCTGGTTAAAAAGCAAAGAAGCTAAGTGTATAGTTATGATGAGCAAGAGTGCTTCTTTCAGAGTAGTGAATTGCATGACCCCTTTGTCAGATGTGCTCATGTAAGGGTGGGGCTCTTGATAATATAGTGAAAAAGCATTAATTCTATTAGATAATCCTGTCTGCTCCTTAGTGTTAAGCAGATAAACAAAGTGATTACTTATGATGACCAAACTTCTGGTC